AACCAGATTATGATCTGATCTTCCTAAAGGAGGCAGAGCAGAGGAGCTGTATGCATTCTTAATATTTGCATAAAATAAGTCCAACATCTTATTTTCTCTGGTGGTGTAGCTGACAAACTGCTGGAAAGTTGTTAACGTAGCAGAGAGGGAGACGTTGTTGAAGTCTCCAGAGATTGCCATGAATGAGCTTGGATGCTGTGTTTGTAGTTTAGCCACGACGGAGCTGATGACATCACAGGCTGTCTCTGGTGCGGTACCTGGTATTATATAAACCACGACCAGAATAACACAGGCAAACTCTCTGGGTAATTAATATGGACGGAAACTCACAGCTAACAGTTCGATGTCTCTTGTGCAGATCTTCTCCTTGACAGTGACGTGTCCAGGATGGCACCAACGCTGATTAACCAGCACTGTAATACCACCTCCCTTCAGCTTCCCGCTGAGCTGTTTATTTGGGTCTGCACGGACCGTCTTGAAGCCAGGTACAGACGCATTACAGTCCGGGATGTGTTCATGCAGCCATGTCTCAGTGAAGCACATAATACTGCACTCTCTGTACTCTTTTTGAGACCTTGTTAGCATTTCAAGCTCGTCCATCTTGTTAGCTAGCGATCTTACGTTACCCATCACAAGAGTTGGAAGAAACGGTTTAAATCTCCACCGTTTTTCTCTCTGCCTTACCCCTGCTCTGCAACCTCTTCTCTTCCTCTTTAACTCCACTGGGATTTGATGTATTATTTTGCTGAAAATCTTGATTTGGGAGAGTTTTAACAGTTGATCACGGTTGTAGACAATTTTTCCGTTGCCATGGATACTCATCATAACAACTTGTGAAAAAGGCTAAATATATGTAGAAAAATCTCCTGAGTTGCAGAGATTTCAACTCAGCATAAAAAATCATATAAGAAAAACCTAATCTGACAGGTAATGTCAGTAAAAAGACAACAATATATAAAAAAAAACCTCAAGAGCAAAGGGAGCTGTTACAAGTTGCTGCCACCTAGCGGCGCATTCCAGAACGAAATATAATTTGTAATATAATATAATTTAACGTTATCAAGAATTACCAGAAGTAAATTTAAAAACCATTCATCAAACTTTTAGCAATATTTACAGGAGTTGTACAAACTCAAAACACACAACATAAATTATGGAAAAAAACAAAACAAAAACAAAACACTATTCAGGGCTCCAGACTGACTTTTTCACTGGTAGTACCAGTACGACCCACTTTCTCATTTTGTTGCACCTCCCACCTGGTCAAAGGCAAAACATTTGAGTTGTTGAACATTTTCTGATGTTACCTAAACGCCCCACACACAGTGGCGGGTCTACCGTGGGGGCACAGGAGGGCACTGCCCCCACCCGGTGATCTGATTGGCCACCCCATGTGCCCCCTCAAAAAAAATTGTTTGAAATTGATATTACCAATACAGAACCTCCGAATTACGACGCTCTTGAACGCAACGTCGTTGTTCGACTGCCACTGAATGCACCAAAGACATAAGGTGCTTTTTGATTGGGTACTTGCATTTAGTTTGGATTGAGAGGACACTTGCGAACGTCGGTTGATGTCCAAGAAAAGACGAGAAGGAGCTGCATAAATAAATATGTTTCACAGAGAATGAAACGGAGAGGAGACATTTAAAAAAAAATGTATTAAAAAGAAGTCAGTAGCAGGTCAGAACACTGAGAGCAGGGACACTGCAGGTCAGACTGACAGCATGATAGCTCAGAGTCCACAGAGGGCCAGGGTCAGCCTGAATGCAGCCAGGGACCATCATCATGTGTTGTTGAGGCCAGAATCCAGGGCCAGGGCAGCAACCATGACCCTCCAGGTGAAAATGCAGATATGAGTAGAGTGTTGCATGTGTATTTTTATTTTATTTTATTTTTTACCAACAACAGAATTTATTTGTTATTCTGTCATAATTGGGTGAATTAAATGACTGAAAACTAATTGTTTCTATGTCTAAACTGATGGCATTGGTTTCTGTG